TCCTAACCCGAATCACCCTTTTAGAAGATTCCAAAGTCTCCTAAACCTAGGGTAATAGAAGGAACATTCTTCTCCTTAGGGAATCTAAATTACAGATTATAATTAAGTCCTAATTCCTAAATAGAATTAAATAATAAGACATCCCACTAGAGTAATATTATTGTCTCCCCATTTAGCGCCAATTTATTCAATAAATTCGAACCTCCAATTGATTAATAAATATTAATCTAATTGATCTATTTATCTCTATATGTTTAAGATATAATTTCCATCGATTAATCTAATTACTGACAATAAAATTAAATCGACTTCTTATTCATTTTTAAAACTAGTACCACTCAGTTCATTAATCATTATGTCGGATATCCATCCATCTCCAGGGTTTGACATAATTTTTCTTACTGAACTCATTTCGGGGACGTCATCAACCAAGCGAACTAGGACATAGTGATCGTAAATAATTTATAATAGTACATCATATAAACGTCATCGTGTACTAAAATATCGAGTATGTCATCGTAGCAAAAGAGGAATCACCCTTGGAAAACAAATGGGCGATTAATGAATATATATGCCCATTTTATATTATCTTACGACCTAAGAGTACGCATCAATTACTGAAGGTCTAGATTATAAAAACAATCAGTAAATCTTATAATCTTATGATTCTTATCCTTCCGCGGTCCGTTCAATACTTATCATATCCATCAGTCAAAGATCAACTGAATCAAGACTTACACTACAATATTCTTCCAACATGGGTCTCACTGCCTGTCTAGACTGTGAACAATTAGTTTATATTTTACAAGGAACCATTCTATCTACAATGTAAAATAAATGAGTTATAATTGCATAAATAAATAAACTGCAAACATAAATACATTGACTAAAACATGGTTGTCATAATAAAATGGAATTGTCAATATCAGAAAGCCAAGCTTTACAGCATATCCTAACACTATCATGTCGCTCTTCAGAGAGAAAGTAAGGCCTACAATGAACTGAGCCCAAAAGAAAGTATAATAGCCCTCGGAAGCTGGTCATAGGAATCCCCGACCACGGGAATCCTTATTGTTATATATACTGAAAGCTTGGCTTTAGATGTAATTATACTGAACCTATTTGAATGAGAATTATGTTTAATTAAACAAGTCTATGTTTTGTTGTTTTGCACTTAGATAGAATGGGTCATCATCAGGCGAACTGATGATCATTCTATCAGTTACCTGCGAAGTAAGAATTATGGTTCACAACCTAGATGGATATGAACACCTCATCCGAATGGTTGTAGTGGCAACGGTACAGTTTGTCTTGACTGATTAGTTGCATTAGTACATTTATGTGTTGAACAGGATCCTAGAGGAGAGCAGTTCGTTTTATACTGATCGTCGTAAATGAACTAGACCTCGGTTAATTACAGCATTCTCTTAACCCATAAGATATTAAATAAACATATACATGCAATATATATTACTTTGATTCACATGGGTGAGGTTTAGTGAACTGGATCAGTAGACTCACTGTCTTGGGTAATATTGTTGCATGTATGATGTGCTGTTAGGATATTTACAGCCACCATGTGCGATAGTTTGATGATGTCCCCGAGATGAGCTCATGAAGGATTATTATGTTAAATCTGGCCGGTGGAATTTATTCCGACATAATAATAATGGCATGCGTGGTACTTGTCTCGGTTATAGATATCAATTAATTTAATTGTCAGTAATTAAATTAATTGATTGACATTATATCTTAAACACGGGGAGATAAATAGAGTAATTATTATTGGAGACTCGAATATACTTTGGGAATTAAATTGGGAATTTATTCGGTAATACTACTTTAGGGGAGTGTACGTATTATTCCTATTTGAGTTTGGTAGGCTTGGCCAATAGTCTAATCCAGATAGGAGAAGCTCAATTTAATGTCTTCTTAGAATCCCTGTTGAAACCTATAAATACATCGCATCTCTTGGGATTAGGGGAACAGATCATTATTCACGTGAAATTGAGGAATTCACGTCGTTTGTGCTCTCTTCTCTCTCTCTCTCTCTTGTGTTCTCTTTTCTTCTCCAAGTAATCCCAGTAGAGATAGATCTGATTTCATCGCTCACTAAGATGATTATATTAGATGTCAGGTCATACAACAGAAGATCTAAGGTGATCGAACGATTTATATATATTTATCCAACCCCTTAA